GTGTGTGGTTTCATATTGCTACCAATCTGCCTACCAACCAACCAACCAGTTAACCATCAGTAGAAGTATGACAACGATTTCCGTTTTGTTGTGATTATTACAGGAAATTTCTCAGTTGACCTGACATTTCGTTGGTGGTGGCGTGGATGGCCAAAGTTCATTCATGTCCGGTATTTGTTATAGAATCCGAAGTACATTTAATTGTGAGCCACGTTTGGAATTGTGTTGCGTGCAAGAAAAGGTGACACTGATATCTGAATAAACAAATTAATGTTGTGAATTATCTATGAGACAAAGAGGTGTCCGTTCTTCTCTAATGGAATGGAAAAGCGTGTTATCAAATCTTATTTAGGTGGAGAATGAAAAAATAATGTCAGAAGGTCAAGGTACTAACATTGTATTAAGTTGGAATATCCTATATCTTCATTGAAATCAATCGGTATTTTGGAAAAGCTGAAGAAAATCAGATTTGTAAGAGATTAAAAAAACCTGGTATTGTCAAATTAGATTTTGATTTCATTATTTGTATAGTATTGGGTTTGGCAAAAAAAAAAAAAAAACTTCATGGTCAGCTTCTTACTATCGTCAGCCCACTACGAAGGTTATATTATTATAATAATTGATGATGGCGTAGCTGATATTTTCTTGTGGTTGTATTACGTATCTTCTCACCTTTAATTGGGATTTACACCTGCGTAAGAGCCATTATATGAAACTGTGTCTTTACCTTTATGGTAAAAATGAAAGTGTAACGGCACGTTTTTGCATATATTTGAGGTGGATGTAAAGTATTTTGGTAAATTCATAAAGCATAATAGGACAACTTTACAAACGAAGTTATTTTGTTGGTTGTTTTGAAATCTTCTTGGATAGAATACATCCTCGCAAAATATGTTTCGTGCTTTAAGGTTTTGGATATAAGTATAAACTCTTCGGCATGATTATCGCGACTCTTACGGGTAATTCATATATGAACTAAAGGGCATCCCAACTACTAAGCAAGTTTTTAATATGGTGCTATTCGAAGTGTTATTGTTTGACATTTGAAAGTTTGGTGAAAGTTTTGCGGCTACAGTTGGAAAATTACGATCAAATTGGGATTGCAGTTTAAAAAAGACGGTGCCACACAGTCTGAGAAACAATTCAGTTGCTGAACCAGTCATTTATCTGTCGCGTTTTTTCGCGATTTGGAGACGGTCATTAAAAATTTCATCATAACTACATAGGTCAAAAAGCCTATCAGACTGATTTGAGGGGCATTCATACCGATGCAGTCACATATACCAACAACAATTATGAATTATGGTATGAATACCGGCCTCGGGGTTCACCCTTTACTCTTTTGTCGGTGCGAATTGACGAAGAAGTGCGTAAAGTCTGCCCAACGTTAAACACAGGCCCGCACAATACGCTTCACCATTATAATTGTCCTGTCAAACCTACCCAAAGCTCTCCAGAAGTACTCCAATTTTTGAAACTGGAGCTATAACCGGATTAGCAGAAATAAAACAAACCATGTGAAGGCATTACAACAACCCACAGTGAGGGACCGTACCCGAAAAGTTATATAATAAATTCCTGATCCTTCTTAGTCGACCTGTATATATTCTTCCGAACCCGATACTGGTACTTCAGATACTGGTAGCGTAGCCCGACATCAAGGAAGCAACATTCGAAAAGTAAAGAAGCGACTTAATCGAAATCCGCGTCACAGTGACCGTGAGCTGAACACATCGCAATATGCATTCCATTCGGAAAATATTGGAAAATTAGCTCGGTGTAAAGCCAGTGAAATTAAAAAAAGTGCAAAAACTTACACTGTAACAGAAAGAAAATAGACTCAAAAGAGCTAAAGAGTTGCTTCGCTTGGCCGAAAGTGGTGAACTGACGAATTTGGTTTTCTCCGATGAGAACACATTCCTTGTTCAGCAGTTTGTAAACAAACAAAATGATCTGACTTGTGGTCAGCTGAAAATATGCACCTTCGGTTAGTCACCAGAACTTAAGCTCCGGCCATGGTGGTGGTGTGGGCGCTCTCCGCTTGTATTAATCGACCGTGGTATCAGAATAAATGCCGAATATTATCGCGAAAATATTCTGGAGGGTGTATTAAAGCCTTGGTCACGCAAACATTTTGGCCGCAGACCTGGGACATTTCAACAGGACTCAGCACGCGCCAACCAAGAATGGTTACAAAATGAGGTCCTCGCTTCATTTCCAGCGCACAATGGGCAACAAATTTTCCGGACTATTGTGTCTGAAGTATTTTGGAAAGCAAGATTAGCACAAAAAATACAAAAGTCTCGATCACCTCAAGCAAGCGCTTCGCCGGAAATGGGACAAAATACCGCAGAGCAACATTCGGGCAGCGTGTGACGGTTTCATTGGCCATTTGACGGCCATAATTCGTGCAAAAGGTGACCAATTCGAACAAAATCTAACCATCTTCTAAAATTTGATGCTATTTCCGACATTTTTTGCTTTTATTCAATAAAATGTAAAAAAAGTAAAAATTATGACTTTTTCGCAGTTGTTTTTATCTCACCCTGTAGACCTTATTATGATGGGATTATGATCAAATCGACTGCGGTCATAAACCTGATCCACTAATATGCATCTAGCCGTTAACAGCTTTTTAAGTAGCCGGTCTTCGTTTGGGGCTTGAGATTTTGTCCTCTGGGATACGTCCAAAACCGGCTACGCGATCCATATTTTTTCTAAATGCCTCATCCAAATAAAGCTTTTCGAGATGGGCAATATCGATCCACTCCTTGAAAGAAAATGGTTTACTGCACAGAAAGAGAAAGGATAATCCGATTTTGCACCAACTTTGCAAACCCGTATATTTTCATCAGTGCTCGGTCAAGTGGAATAATCGATTCACTCAATCAAGTATCTCTTCAACTAAGGGTTAAAATGTTGCATAATTATAAATCATATAAAATGTGATGTAAGTGTCCGTTTGTCTTCAAATTACACACATCACAATATTTTTATTAACCCATGGTCTTGTGTGAAGATGGAATATATCTGTAAACTCCTCCTCAGTCCTTCACACAAGGGGTCAACATTTTGAATATCAATGAAGCTCATAAAACGCAAAATTAAAATCCAATTCCATTTAGACTTGGCACATCTCAATATTTCCATCAACACAGGACCTTTTAAAAAGATGGTATAGATCGGCCCATTTCTTCTAGTACCTCCTCCACAAAGGTCAAAGTTTTGAATTACCAAAACGATTTTAAATCCAAAATAAGTATCCGGTTTACTTTATATTTCACGCAACCCATTATTTCTATAACCAGAATATCTGGGATATATGGGCCCACTCCTTCTGGTACCTCCCCCCCCCCCAAAGGTTCAAAATTTTTCATATTCATGAAGCTCATAAAATGCAAAATTAACATCTGATTCCATTTGTACTTGGTCCATCTCAATATTTCCATCAACACAAGACATGTTATAAAGATGTCAGATATCGGACCATTTGTTTTGGTACCTCCTCCACATAGCGTTCAAGATTTTCAAAAACAAAACGCTCAAAGAAAGCGAAATAAGCATCCAATTCTCCTCAGATTTCAGACATATATTTTTGCAAACCTCTTCTGGTACCTCACCCACAAAGTGCCACAATTACCAATGCTTATATTTATCATAACTACCATGTCGGCGATTATTTCCACTCGCTAAATCTAAATATGTCTCTTAACCAGAAATCTGATCTGAATATGTAATTTATCTAAATTTATGTTTTCGCATAAAATTGGAAATAAATGTTCGATTTTCTTGTAATTTTGCCCATACCAATATCTTCATCTGCATTAGATAAAGTATGAATATGAAATACTTCGGTTTGCTTTATCTATTACCTTATGCATATTTCCACATTTTCCAAAAATTTGCAGTATAATCCAATTCTGGTACGTTGTAATATTTATATCATGTTTATTTAGGTCCGGTACGAAATGGACAATATTGACCCGTTCCTTCGGAACCTACTCCCTAGAGATTCAAATAAAAAACAATTTGAATAATTATAACAGAAGCCAAAATTTATTTAAATAATCAAGCATTGGCTGGGGGTATACATCTGTCGGAAAAACCGGCTGATGCTTTTTAACTTGTTTATATAGCCTAAACTATATCCAGAAAGGCCCCAATATTTTGAGCCACCTTTTGCCGGATTATTAGTTTTTGGAATTATATATAATTGATTGGAAACGTGAACTTAAGATGTACCATTCTATGAGACTATTTCGTAATATATACTCAAATTAAATACTTTCAGAAGGATAGTTTTCCCGAAGGAACCACAGTACTAAGTTTCATTCAATTCGATCGAAAATTTTGGCCGAAAATTCCCGAGCTATACAAATTATTTTGACAAACCGAATACTGTGAATTGAAGTTCATTTCATTGAAAACTTAACTCGAAAGAGAAAATGATCAGATATTTATTTTTGCCTGAGTGTTGTGGGTTTTAAATTGGCCCTTGATTCGACTGACCATACTTCACCCCAAAATTTTTTTAATTGTCTATCCATATTTGACTTCAAATGTCAGCAGCATTCTCTCCATCCTATTATTCTTAAAGCTCATCAACTTACCACCATCTTGCTGTCCATACCCTAATTTGCATTTACAATGAAATTATCCTTCATTAAACAGTTTCCCTATTTAAAACCTATATCGTTTTATTGGCTAAACTTTCAAGTAGCTAAAAAGCCACCCCGTTTTTAATACGCAACACCTAAAAGACTTTAGTAGATAATATCATTTGACTTTTACTCTAAAATTTACCTAACATTTAAGCCACTTTGACTTTGACGTTAATATTACCGGAAGCCATTTATCTATGGGATAATTGTTTCCCCCACAACACCTACCTATTGTTAACCTTAATAGTATTGACTGGAATCCATGATGACATAGTTTTATTTTTGTCGTTGTTGGTGGTGTTGTCGGTGTTATATTTTATTTCTATTTTTAATACTTACCCTCACGCAAGGTCACTATGTAGTAGGATTCTTTGGATGGAGGACTAATGCCCAGCTTGTTGACAGCCTTCAGGCGAAAGCTGTAGACGGTAAAGGGTACCAGACCAGTGACTTGATACGATGTCACATTTGATTTTGTTTGTATTTGTGGCACTTGATCCCATTGACCGTTCTCGCCCACTCTGTAAATAAAAATAGAAAAACGGAGAAATGAGAAGAGGCGAAGATGTGAAGATGAGGACAGGAAAAAGGACCCCGAGTTATTGCAAATGGAAATTGATGGCAAAGTAGCAGAATGTATTAAAGAATAATATTTACTCAACTCAACAATTGAAGAACTTACAGGAAAAAAAGTCGGAGGCGTATAAAGATGGGAAATGAGTGGGCAAACCTTTGTGAGTGTGTGTGTGGCTGTGTGTGTTTGTGTTTATCTTGAATTGTGTTTTAATTCAATCGGTTTTTCTTTTACACTTTTGACCATTGAAGTCCTTGCACAAATACACACACACATAGGAACATACATACACACACACATAGGAAAATACTTGAGTTCCTTCTCCTTGGGAAAGCAAGCAGAAATGTAATGTTTGTTTTGTTCTTCAGATATAACCACTTAAATGCCCATTCGTCTTGATATTGACTTCCCAACAACTACAAACTTGCTGTGTGTGTATATGTGTGTGTGTGCGAGTGAAAACCTAACAATTTCGGTAGTTGCACAGGAGGAGCTACAGAAATGATGTAAGCTTAAAAATGAGCCGATTTTCCCAAGCAAAAACTTGACAGATATAGGAGTCGGATAGCCCATTAAAAGGTTATGTGATGAGACTGCACTCTGCATTACCAGTAAGTTTAAAATAATGGGTTATCAGTAAAACGTTATGTTCTCTTCTCATTACTAAGTAATAATTAACGCCTGAACAGAGTGTGCGTTTCGGACTTCGAAACTGAACCGACTCGGCGCCGGTAAAAAGCAGTTTGTATTCTGTTTAACTACAAATCATAATATTGTGATCAAATTGAAGATAATGTTTTTATTGACTTATGACCAAAGAATAACTGAAAACTCAAAGTGGATTCCATAATATCCCGTTTGTAGATCAAAATCACAAAAGAGTTTCTTATTCTTAGGCCAATTATAGGTATGTCTGTTGTAGGCCTAAAACCGATATGAAATGATATAAATCTAACAGCTTAAAAAGAATAAATAAGAAATTGTGTTCGGATTCGAGCCGGAGTAGACTTTATAGTTGGACTCCTTAAAAAAGACCATTTCGCAGTTTGAGTCTGATCAAGAATGACTTGGCTCCGCTGCTCTGATTCGAAGAGATGTCAATGACGATACTTTAAAAAAATATGACAATACTGGATGATAATGGCTGAATTCGTTTATTTTCATTATGGATTCGTATGGGTTAACAATTGCTCACCTTTTTTGAAATAGGCGTCATATAGTTGTACCTACAATTTTTAGAGTCCTAAGTCCTTTTTCTATCAGTAGAGGTTGCAATTAGATATTTAGGAACCTTTATTGTTCAACAGTTTTTCTGAAAAATTCCAGCTACTTAACCGGTAAATTTCTATTGTTATATTTGTGGTAGTTTGAAGACATTGGTCACATTTTTAACGGATTTATTTAGTTTTGAATCCAGTGAACATTCTTTATTCTCATCCTCATGGCTACTGAGGGTATATATATGAAAAATCTGCCTTATCAAAATAATTGTTTTAGAGCCTAGGTCTGTTTTGACAAAATCCATTTCACGATATTTGGAGTCGATTTATCGTGCCCATGATAACCTTCGAAGGGAGTATCCGATTTGGTACAAACTTGGTACATCGTAGTATTATTGTCAAACTCAGATCGAGTTCGGAGATAGGCTCTCTTTCTTGCACCTGCCCCACAAAAGCTCAACGTTTCCACAGAAAATAATTTCAGTTTAAACATTCAATTCTCTTCAAATTTCACAAATCCGGTGCGGCCAAAACGACACTTATCGAAATTCTTTGCACCAAATTCGTTTCAGGACATTTCGAGTCGATCTAGAGATGTCCGTCCGTCTATCAAACTTAGATCGAATTCGGAGATGGGCAATACAGGGTGAGATGAAAAACCAACTTCAGATTGCTGTCATTACTAAACCACTCATCCGACAGCTGTTAAAAATATTTCAGTGACAGCTCATTATATTGTTTACAAGCGTACAAATTTTCCAGGAAAACCACAATTGGCACTCCGGCATTTAAATGAGAGTAAATCTCTTGTGTCTCGTACCATCGCTCGTTAACGTGATACTGGTAACCCGACGTCAAGGAAGTGGACGGAAGAACAACAATGTCAGCATAAATGGTTCGAAAAGTAAAAAAGCGACTTGATCGAAACCCTCGTCGCAGTGGCCGAAAAATGGCTCTTGAGCTGAATATATCGCAATATTCCATTCCGCAAATATTGAAAAATGAGCTCGGGGTAAAGCCATTGAAATTCCAAAAAGTGGAAGAACTTACACCGCAATAGATTCAAAAGAGCTAAAGAGTTGCTACGCTTGGCCGAAAGTGGTGAACTGCCGAATTTAGTTTTCTCCGGTGAGAAAACATTCGTTGTGCAGCAGTTTGTAAACAAACAAAATGATCGTGTTTACTTGCCAAAGAGGTCAGCTGAAAATGTGCACCTTCGTTTGGCCACCAGAACTTAGGCGCCGCCCATGGTGATGGTGTGGGCGGCCATAAGAGCACCGCTCGTATTAATCGACAGTGGCATCAGAATAAATTCCGAATATTATCGTGAAAATATTCTGTAAGGTGTATAAAAGCCTTGGGCACGCAAACATGTTGGCAGCAAACCTTGGACATTCCAACAGGACTCGGCATCATCGCACTCAGGACGCGCCACCCAAGAATGGTTATGAAATTATGTTCCTCGCTTCATTTTGGCGCACTATGGGCACCAGAATCTCCGGATACCAATCCGTTGGACTATTGTGTCTGGAGTATTTTGGAATGCAAGGCTGGCACTAAAAAATACCAAAGGTGTCTATCACCTCAAACAAGCGCTTCGCTGGGAATGGGTCAAAATACCGCAGAGCAACATTCGAGCAGCGTGTAATGGTTTCATTGGTTGTTTGAAGGCCATAATTCGTGCCAATTTGAAAAAATCTGAACTTATTTGATGCTATTTATGACATTTTTAGTATCATTCAATAAAATTAAAAAAAAAAAAAAAAAACTAAAAACTTTGGAGTTTGACTTTGATGCAGTTTTTTTTTATCTCACCCGGCATATGTTTCATCCAACTTGGAGTTAAAGTCCCTCAGATTCGCAATATGCACTCCAAAATAATACTTGGTACCAGATATCAATATAGCACAGAAAAACCTTCGTCAATTTATATCGAGATCGGTTCAGATTTGGATATAGTTTACACATCCGATTTCACGGTTATGTGACCAATTCGGAGGATTTTTGCACATTCATCTACATTTATCCATTTGTTGGAACCCTATTGCTCCGATATATATTTTTTAATATGACCGTTCTCGAAGTCATATTTTACACTCCATAGCAATGTTATTTGGTACAAGTGGTACAAATGCCTCCTGCAAATTTGGTGGATTTGGAATCTGACTAAAAATTATAACTATTTTAAAGGCATAATACACATTCAAAAAACGTACATATCACCGGCCCCGCTCGAATTTGACCTTTTTTTCCTGGTTTTTAATTACCATTTCATGACGATGAAAAAACGAAGTTCAATTTTTTTATTTTGAAAGAAAAGTCCCAGAAGCACTTTTAATTCTTTCATCTATAACTATGACCAACATTTAATGAAAAAAAAAAAGTATAATTTTTGAGACATGTGCCAGAAATATTATCCATGTTCCCCGTAATTTCGCAGAGTATGACTGACAAACTAAATATTACACCATATGTCGTCCGATACAATGATGATGACGATAATTCTGAATTATTTAAATGTAAAACATTTTGTTCAGCATTATTTATAATCTTTCAAAGAGAAACCGAAAGAGAGAGAGAGTGAGAGAGTATCCTTTTGCAAATGTCCATTTACATTTTCACCGAGTGCCGGTGCCCACTTGCAAACAGTTGTGTCGACCACAGTCATTTGTTTGAGTTACTAAAACCTTTGAACAAAACACACCCACTCACACACACACACACATAGAGAAAAGACCTAAAGTAAACAAAGCAGAACAAATGAAGTTTGCTCTTTTTTGTGGGTTTCTTTTGGGTATTAACGATAAAAAGAGTTGTTGGCCTTAAATGTTGGCATTGTCCTTGTCATTGTGTTCGTTTCATCTTCGAGTTTTTTTTTGGTGAAGTGGATTTTACAATACCATATGTGTGTATGTGTGTGTTCGTTTGAGGTGAAATAGAAAAGTATCATAGCTAAGTTGTATCGAGTGACTCTATCACCAAAACAAACACACACATATATATATACACACATCTAACCACCTACATTTACTAATAAAAAGAAAATTTCATTGAGTTGTGTTCTGTTTTGTTAGCAAATCCCTGTTGATGTTAGGCAAAGGGATCCTTCGAAAAAGACTTGCTTTCTTGCTTTCATGCTCCAGCTATCGGTGATACCGAAAATTATATGTTGATTTTTTAAATTTTAACAAAAACACTTGGCAAACACAACCTTTTCTGTTCATTCTGCTTTGTTGTGCCTTTGTTTTGTTTCCCATGGCTACACTTGTGAATGTGGGCCTATGTCCTCAACATTTTCTGTTATCTTTTATTATTTTGTTGATACTTTTGTTGGTCATAGTTTAGATGGTTTAGCATTTTTCGGTGTTGGTTGTTTATCCCTTCTGAAACGTTTACTGTTTGTCTGGGATTAAAGTTTGCTCCTTTCATTGGCATTTCGTAGAGGCACCTTTTGTCTACATTTGGAATATTAACGTTCCCACACACAGCAACACTAACAAATTCACGAAACAAGGCAAACAATTCGGAAACGGTCAGGTTAAAAAGGGATTTTCCAAATAAATTGTTGTACTTTTCCCCAAAGGTTCAAGTTAATCAAGGGTTTCGTAGTGGCCTTTCTTTGCCAGTCAGAGAGGGTAACTGTGTGTGTGTGTGTATGTGTTACATTTGATTGTTTGTGCATCCTTAAAGGATTATTTCGAAGGATTTAGAAGATTTTCATTCCCAG